GGCGGCGGCGGCGGGCGGAGCTTGCCGAGGGACATCGTCAGAACCGCCAGCGACTTGCTGCTCAACACTGCCGCGCCGCCGCCGCCGCTGCCGCCGCCGCCCCTGCCGCGGGCGCCGGCGCCGGCAGCACCCTCCGCTGCGGCTGCTTGCTGCTCCCCGAGGACCGCGGGCAGCGCGGCCCAGACTGGCTCCCACCACTGGGGCGCCGGCCGCAGCCCGAGCCGCCCCATCGCGTACAGCGACGTCGACAGCGCCTGTGCGTCCGCGCCGCGCACGGCGGACTGCAGCCGCAGCAGGCACGCGCGCTGCCAGGCGCGTGCCGGGCGCTCGCCCAGCACAGCCAGCCCCCAGAGCGCATTGGCCGCGTCCGCAAACGGCAGCCGCGCCACGCCGTCGCGCTCAAGCATCGCGGCCTGCACCGCCAGCAGGAGGCCGGCGGGCGGCTCCGCCCGCAGCCGCCCGAGCGCGTGCAGCAGCATGGCAGCTTCCCCGGGCTTGAAGGCGCCCTCGCCGAGCCGCCGCGCCGCCGCGCCGCACGCCGCCGCGAGCCACTCCTGGTCAGGCGCGGCGCCGAGACGCGCGAGCGCCCACAGAGAGTTTGACAGGCCTTGTGCTGTGAAGTCGTCAACGACCGCAAGCGCCGCAGACAGCCACGCGTCGAGCCACGCCCGCGGGGGCACGAGCCCCAGCGTCGCGAGCGCCCACGCGCTGTTGGCGAGCGCCTGCGCGCAGGGGCGCGCTCCGCCCGCCGCCGCCGCCGGCCGCCGCTGCCCGTCCCGCCGCCCGTCCCCTTCCCGCTGCTGCGTTTGCCGCTGCCGCCGCCCGTCCTGCTGCCGCGCGCCGCCGCCGCCGCCGCCGCCATCGCCGCTGCCCCCCACGGCCGCCTCGAGCAGCCGCCCCAGCGCCTCCTGCCGCGGCGCGTGCCCGAACCGCGCCAGCGCCCACAGCACGTTGGCCGCGTCCCGCGGCGCCGCGCGCGCCAGCTGCCCCGCGGCCGCCGCGGCCGCCAGGTACGCGTCCAGCCAGGGCGTCCCGGGGTGCAGCCCGAGCCGTGCGACTGCCCACAGCATCGTCGCCGCCTCCCTCGGCCCGCAGGCCGGCAGGCGCTCGTAAGCCAGGTCCAGGGCCGAGCAGAAGAACGCGTGGAAGCCCTCAAGCTGCTGTGGCGGTAGCGAGTGGTACTGCGTGACGCGCGCCGTGCGCGCGAGGAGCGCGCACGTGTGGATGTGATTGAGGCCGGGCGCCGCCTTCGGGCCGCCACCGTCAACGCTGCCGGTGCCGCTGCCGCTGCTGCTGTCGCAGCTGTCGCCCCCGCTGTTGCCGTTGCTGCTGCTGCCAAAGCCGCCGCCACCGCTGCTGCTGCTGCCACCGCGAGCTTGGGCATTCGCCATCAGCTCCGCAAGCTCCTGCCAGCTGCCGCACGCCTGGATGTCAGCCGTCAGCTGCCGCGCCCAATCTCCTGAGCCCGCCTGCCTATCCTGCGAGGTCCCCCTCCTGCGCTGCTGCTGCTGCTGCTGCTGCTGCTGCTGCTGCTGCTGCTGCTGCTGCTGCGGATGACTGGCGCGTTGCCGCCCGTGCCGCTGCTGCGAAGTGCTGATGTCATCGCCAGGAAAACTCTCCCCGCTTTCCCGCGCTTCTTGCTGCTGCTCAGCTGGCCACCGCTGGTTGGGCCGCTGCTGGGGTTGCTGCTGTTGCCGACGGCGCGCGACACCGTGCGGCCTTTGGCCAGCCAAACCTCGTGTGTAGTGGTGACCGTTGCTGACATCAGCGTCACTGTTCAGGGGCCCCGCAGGCCCGCAACTACTGCTGGGAATTCCCTGCCTTTCATCAACAAGTGTGACGGCCGCGCTGGCGGCCTCGCTGCTGCCGTCGCTTCCAACGCCTGCGCTGTTGCTGCTGCCGCAGCCGCTGCTGCTGTTGCTGTTGCTGCTGCTGCTGCTGCTGCTGCTGCTGCTGCTGCTGCTGCTGCTGCTGCTGCTGCTGCTGCTGCTGCTGCTGCTGCACATGCTGCTGCTGCCACTCCCGCCATGCCCCAAACTTTGGCCGGCAACAGAATGCTCATTTGTAGTGCTGCCACCGCCGTTCAGCGGAAGAGTGTTCTGTCCCAAGTCTGGGCTGCAGCTGCATTCCATACTCAAAGGCTTCGAGTCGCGAGCGCCCTGCTGCTGGGTGCCGAAGCCCTCAGCAGCCACTGCTGCACCGCCACGCCGACGCGCCCGCTGGGGCCAATGCTGCTGCTGTGGGTGCTTGGCATGGCAGCCGGCCGCACCAGGTGGAGAGAGCACCACCAAATCGGACTCATCAGAGAGCCAGGCGCGCACGTCGCTAGGAACCTGTGGCGATGCAGCAGGCGTCAGGTGGTGAATGGCGACCCCGCCGCACCGCGCGTTTCGGTCGGTGGTCAGCGCAAAGGCGCACGCATCGACCTCACCTGGTCCGTAGCGACGTGGCTGCTCGCATTGACACGTCCATGCCACCTCCTGCAAGGCCTGCAGCGGGCAGACAGCAAGATCAATGTCTTGTCGTGAAGCACGTCCACGGCCGACATGAGCACAACACAAAGGCCTCATTACTAACTTATTAGAATATTATTCTACCGTGAAGCCCACCTCCCGGGCGCCATGCGACATAGGGACAGGGCGCCCTCACGGAGGGCGCCATGAGCCATGTAGGTTCCTTGCATCTAGCTTAGTGCAAACTCATGTTGCTGTGTGCCAAGCTGAGAGGGCAACACGCCGCGTTTCACCTTCCCTGCGTGAAACAAAGGTCTGGCTTTCGTGACCATAAGGTGAAATACTCACAAACACCACAAACGATGCGCACGGATGCTTTCCCGTCGCGCTGGCTGTGGAGTCATGGTGGCACCGACGCGCCAAAGCGCATCTCGGGAAGGCCAGGGGGTGGTGCAAAGGCCCGCGTGGCCAGCATGGACCCTGGCCACCAATGGCAATCAACCAGGCGGCCATGTACGTCTATAACAGCTCGTGGGCTTGGTTTGGAGCCTGAAAAGGGGAGCGGTCTGGTGTGTTGTCATCAGCGTGGCATCAGCAATCGTGCTGCACTGCTGTTGCTGGTGGCGCGATCCACAAAGTGGTGCAGGCGCGAGGCTGATGTTCTTCGCAACCTTGATTGCAGATCTTGGAATATCACATCATGTGCTTCACAGATGCCCTGACCACGATAAGCCTGTCGGGTAGATGATGTTGCAGGGATCACGAGCGCAAACATGGGATGCTGCAACAATCCCAACTCCAATTCTAGTCCTGAACCTTATCTTAATCCTCGAGACGTTCTCACGGCATTGTCCCTCCCCATTGCGCGTATGCAGTACTTGTGACATTCCAGTGCAGGGGGTTCGCAGCTGCTGCGTTCAGGCACACGCAGAGTCATGGATGAGCACGCACGCAAAAGCAGGCAGTTCATGAGAGGGGTGCACCGCTGCCGCTCACCTGCACCCTGCGTGCGCCCCGCGTGCGCTCGGCCCTAAGGGCGTGTGTGCATCAAATGTGCCGGAAGCGCTTGCTGTTTCAGGCGGCGAGCGGGGGCCAGATTTATCAAGTTGTCGCTGGTGGTGTGCTGGTGCTCATCTGCATCGTCCGGACACATCAACATTTTTGCAACAGAGCTATGAGGCAGGTGGAAGATCATACAATTTCAATATTTGTATGTGTATACCTCACCTGGGTTCGTCCATGATCGTCAACTCAACGTTGATCGCCGAGTTCGTGCTTCGTGGGGGGTTTCACCCGCTAGATACAGCACTGCGCGCGATGCAGTTCGATAGCGATACAAAGAACCATTATAAAACAGCATCATAAGCTGTGCCTGTGCACAGCTCTCCTGTGCAGCAGTCAAAACACGGCATGTCCCACGCGATGCCGGGCACTGCTGCGCCGCACCGACCGCGCGTGATGGGCCCGCGCGAGCTGATCGACGCGTGCTGCTGGGTCTGGGACACCCACGACGCCGCGCGCCTCAGCCTGGACGCCCACATCGAGTCTTGCCTGGCGCAGCGCGGCGGCGGCGGCGGGGAGGATACGGACGACGCCACTTTCATTGCACAGGTGGTGTATGGGCTGCACCGCTACCGGCGGCTACTGTCTGGCTTCCTGGACGGCTTCTTCCACGCCAAGAGGTGCGTGCACACCCTGATGTGATATACTACGGTGGTGATGCCAAACGCCGGTCCACATCTGGCAGCGAAAGCGCCAGCGGTGGCGGTTCCGGAGCTGGAGGCATGTGTGTGCCCCATGCATGCATTTGCGCGCACATGCATGCACGCATGCACGCTGGAGGCGGGGGCACAATATATGTGTGCGCGTCTGCGCGACCCCCGTCTCAACCCGCAGCGGCAAGGCCCTGCGGACGGATGCAACGCGCTACCGCGTCTTCGTCTATTTGGCCGCGTTCCGCACTGATGAGCTCGGCGCTAAGAACTTCAGGTGTGCTCAACGAAGGAGCGGCCACCGGCCCACTGCCGGTCTGAGCTCGCGCAAAGCATCGCGGCTGCATGGGGGGAGGGGACAGCAGAAGAGCCGCCCTGGCCAGCCGCAAGCCCCCGGGATGCTGGTTTGCCATTTTCGCACCTTGATGTTGCAACGCTGTGCATCCTGCGGCTGCTGTAGTCTGCTGACACCGTTGCGGCGGCTTGGTCGGCGCCGCGCGCCGCAATTGTAGGCGCCTGGTGGAATCTCAGGATGCCCAGAAAATGGCCGTGCTGCTGCCCTACCTATTCAACGGCGCCAGCCTCAGGGGCCACGCCAGGGAGGACTGGCTGAAGGCATATGACAAGAAGGTGGGCGGGGCCTGAGGCTGGAGCGCCATTGCGGCATGATGCCAAGTTGGAGTGGCTGCTTGTTTGCACTGGCGGGAGCGTCGCCCAGCACTGTCCAGGCGTGTGCAGCTTTGGTGCTTGTTTCAGCTGCAAGCCGGCTTGTCTAGGCAATTGAGGGTCACACCCCGCCTGTCGAGTGTCCGTGGTCGCCGAGCCTGATGTTTCAGAAGCCATGCGTGCCAGGAGATCAAGCACATGACAAAGGCGGGCTTGCTCGCGCGCGTGCGCGCAGTTTGTGGACAACTTGATTGAGCGGCTGCTGGTCTGGGGCGCCCAGTGCGCGACGCTGCTAGCCTCCCTGAACGTCCGCGTCTACTCGACTTCCGGCACCGTCGGCGGCGGCACCCGGCAGGATGACGTCAGCAGCGGGGGCGGCGGC